AGATCCTGAAGTGTTAAAAAAAGGATATTAAGCCAGGAATTTCAATATGATGTTATGAATCGTGATAGAAAATTAGTGAATGTTAGTGAAAATTTATCTTTCTGATATCAATGACAGATGTTACAATCAATGAACATTTTACTTATCCATATATTCTTATTTACAAAATAACAATCTACATCAATAGCAAAAATAAACAATTAATTATGGCTCCTAGTGTAGCTATGTTTGCTTTAACCATCAGTTAATTAACAAAACCATCAACTTCCTTTTTTAACTGATCTGCAAATTTGATATTAATATTTTTATGCTATAATTTGTATGTGATTCATTTTTGACTTACAATTCATACAATAATTATTGGCTATTTTTGAATATAACTTCATTATAAAACAGTTGAAAAATTGGAACTGTACATTTAAATGCAGGACTGTCCCACCTAATTCAGGACATCTGGTCACTTTAGTATATTCTCTATGCATGTAGAAAATTTTCTGTTAATTCTCTACAACCCTTATTATTCCTAATGAATGTAAATAAAGTTTTTAATAATAAATTTTCAGGTTTATATTAATGATTTTTTTACCCTATATTTTTATTTTTTGTAATTATTATTTTGTATTCTTTTTTTTAGATATCTCAAAATGACAACATTAGTAGAAACTGTGTCAATAAATTATGAAGATTTTAATGTGACTTTTTTAACTTGTAGTACCTGTTTTTGTATGTATGATGCTCGTACTCATACACCGAAATTACTATCTTGTTCTCATACTGTGTGTTTACAGTGTTTAGAAAATCTTGTAGAAAATTCTGGGGCTCGGGAGTCTGGTTTATTCCGCTGCCCCATTTGTCGTAAAACAATTCCTCTTCCAAGAGATGGTGTCCGAGCGCTTCCTCCCAGTTTTGTCGTTAATCAACTCCTTGATCTTATGGCAAACCAAAGACGAGAAGTGATTCCTAAATGCTCTATACATCCTTCCCAAGAACTTCTATTTTGCGAAACTTGTGATTGTGTGTTTTGTATCATTTGTACTAATGCCATTCATGGCAGTTCCGGTTGTGAACATACAGTCATACCTTTTTCTATTGCTGTAAAAAGACTATCAGAAATATTCCTGTATAAAGCACATCTTTGCTCTCAAAAATTAAATGTTGCATCACAGAATTTAAACACTGAAATTAATAAACTGGATAAAAACATAGAAAAAGCCTTACAACAGATAAATTCTTCATTTCAACAACTTAAAAATGATGTCGTAGAACGTAAACTAGCACTTTCAGATCAATTAACAGAAATTTACAATAATAAAAAGCAAGTTTTAAAAGAGCAGTTGAAAGATATTAAAGAAGAAACAGAAAAACTTACTGAAGAAAATGATAGATTACAATTTGAAGTGGATATTTCTAATCTTGCAAAGAGGATCTCCGATCTTCATGTTAAACACGATTCAATAAATAACGTAATGGAACCAAAAGAAAATCCATTTTTATCTTATACGTGTGACAACACATTTGACACTGAAACATTCAAAAGTTTTGGTAATTTAAGAACCAGTCGAACATTTCCTGCATTATGTACTGCAACACTAGAAGATACTTATGCTCATTTGGAAGCTACCATTTCTGTAAAAACTGTAGATTACTTTAGTAATCCTCAGATGGAAGGTGGCGATATAATTTCTTGTAAGGCAATGTATAAAAATGGGGATGTAATACCTGTAAAAATTGAAGATAAGAAAAATGGAAGTTATGAGATAAAATATGTACCTTTTCGTACTGGTATGTATGAACTTCATATTGCAATTTTTGACAGACCTATTCACAATAGTCCATTTATACTTGATGCATCAGAACACATTAATCCCATCTGCCAATTTGGTAAACGAGGTTCTGGAAACTTTGATTTGTCACAACCAGCTAATGTAACTGCAAAAAATGATGTATTTGTATTAGATACAAGTAACAATCGTATTGTTGTCTTAAATCCACAGTTAGAATTTCTTTATCACATCTCAAATGAAGGACTTAAAGCTTTTGGAAGCACTGGAATAGCAATGTCACCAAGAAATACCATTTTTGTTGTAAATTGGCGAACAAAACTGGTAACAGAAATGTCACTCGATGGAAAAACCATAAATCAATTTACACATGATGCATTTGTGGAACCAATTGACATAACAGTTAACAGTCAGGGAGAAATTTTAGTTGTCGATGATTATGCCAAATCTGTATTCTTGTTTAATCAAACTGGAAAATTTTTGAAAATGATTGGAGAAAAGGGAAACAAGGAAGGCCAAATAAATTTGATAACTTCAATAACTAATGGTCCTTCAGATGAAATCATAATTTCTGGTACAAAGCTTATCATCTTTAATAATAAAGGAATGTTTCTGAGAGAAATATGCTCAAAAACAGCAGGCCAATATAGCGGAATCCATTATGACAATAAAGGAAATATTCTTGTTACTAGATCTGAGAAATCTGGATCATATATCCAAATTATAGATTACTACACAGGAGAACAAAAATTTATAATTGATAGCTACGATTCTAAACTGAAACGTGCAGCTGGAATTGTATCAAAAGATGATTATGTCTATGCTATAGATTTAGGTAATAACTGCGTAAAAAAGTATAGATATCTGTAAATATAATCAAGGACTTCAAATTTTTAACTGAATTTAGCCTGATTAATGATATTAATTTGTTGTTCATAAAGATGTTGCAATCTTTGTTGTTCATATTTACAACTCATGAACTGGTCAAGAATTAGAGCAATGATCAATTGATTCATCAAAGTAGGTAATCAGTACACTAATCTGTTATAGCCAGGCTTGACTCACAATGGGATCAACCAGTACTAGATGAGAAAATGGGAACATTTAGCCTTATTATGCATGATAAATTATATAGTTTGGATTTTAACACTGATCCCGATATTCTAGGCTGATATCTTACCAAGCTGCCATTGGCAATGGTTGGAGTTAAAAGTTATAAAATAAAATGAATGCTAATTGATTGATTTCTAATTCTGATTCAATTCTGGATTGTGAATATAGACATACTGATTTGCCAATTCTAATGTCTTAATTTAAAAATTAGTAGGCAATTTTGCATTATTATTAGAAATAATTAAGGTAAAGTAATAAGATATTTAAATGACACATTGTATAAGTGTTTTGAGGAATTTTTTTTAATACATATTTGCACTTTTATCACGTGTATTCTGGAAACCTTCCAAATAAATGCAAAATTCACATTATTGAATGTTAAGCTATAAAATCTATAAGCTAACGAACATAACTGTTTTTATTATATTCATAAGCTGTAATTGCAAATATTAATTTACTTTAGTCAAAGTGAGTTTATTTAATGTAAATACAAGTAGTTTCTATCCTTTAATTCATCTTCATTGTTAAAAAATTTAAGAGATTAGAGAGAGATGTTTTCAGTTTATCTTATTTATTCTGCAATTCATTTACTATTAATTTTATCTTAATCTTAGACACAATGTAGTAAAAGAAATCTAAAAATGAAAGATTGTTTAAAAACATTCAAGTAGAATAAATAGTATTGGAAGATATAAAATTTTATATCATCAATGCAAGTATTATTTTTCCTCAATCAGTTGCATTCCAGTTTGTCTTCATCTTAATTTTGCATAAAAACAGTACAATATTAGAAAACTTGTGGAATCTCTCTTATTTCTAGGAAAATAAGAGAGAATTAATCAGGTGATCACATTTTATATAGAAAGCTTTGGATTTATTGGCATGAAATATGGAATAATTATGTAGCATATTCATTTCTGTCCTCTTCAGGTGGTATTTTCTGTATGGCATTTAGTTTCAGAAGAAAGTCTGAGGCTTGAAGTTGTTGGTAGGAAGCATTACATAGCTAGATTCAATTTTACTCCTTATGGATGGGGCTATCCTGCAAGACATTTAGCTAGAGAAGAATGATGCCTTGATCTGAATTTTTGTGCAAAAATTCTTGATAAACCAATCATTAGAAAAGGTAATAGCTACATTACATGAAAGTGAATGCAACAATCATCAGTTTGACACTAATTTCCCATAGGTTTAAGACAGATCATGTAATTAATGAATTGTATCATAAACATTTGTAGAATATAATCTCAAACAAATTCATAACTGTTAAATAGGAATTAATGCAAATTAGAATCTGAGTTAATTTTATCCCAAATGAACATATTAGATAATGTAACTACCAAATCAGAATTTGCTTTAGCTGTTAACCACATTGTATTCATAACTTCATTGAGTTATATTAATATTACTAATTCATATTTGTAAAGGATATCATTTATCAGATGATGATTGATTATATTAGGTGATCATATCAGGTTCAAGTAGAATTTACAGAAAATTTGGAAATGCTGTGAAAATGACTTCATGACACCATAAGTAGATAATGCAACAAGCATGTCATACAGAATGCTTACCATATCATGAGGTGTAACTCATAGTGTCACCAAACTTCTTTAGTACTTCTACCTTTCATTTGATCACTCCATAGATGAACAGTATACAGTATTATCCTAACTGTTAGTTCAGGAATTATTTTAGATTAAATTTGAAATAATAAATGATAAATTCTCAAAAGTAGATANTTTTATATTAAAATTCAATATTTTATAGCAAATACTTTAAATTTACAGTGAAACTAAAATTTTGAACTATAATATATTTAAATTTATATAAAAGTTTTTATGACTTAACAGGAAGAGAATTAAAATAATTTTTAAAATATATATTATGTTTAAATAATTGTTACATATAAATGGAATCTGTAGTTAAACAATTGATAAATCTGAGTTTAATTTTGTTTATTCAAGAAGACATGTTTCCCTAGTTCAATGGTTTTTAACCTATTTTTGAAGTTCTGTCTTGATACATTCAATACCAAATAAATTGTTTAACTTTACATAAATTATGGCTGTCTGAGGATCTTGTGACATTTTAGAAGTTGTTGCAGATTCTTCGGATGTTACAAAAATCAGGTTGAAAGTAAGCCTGATTTTTAGGGATTCAAAGGGTGCAAAACAATAATAAATTATGATCTTTACAAATTTGTGATTTCTATAATTTTTTGATAAGATTAAAAATATAATAATAAACATAATTTTCTGGTAGATAATGAAAATTATTTGTATGGTGTATTTCTAGCCAAAAACAATCTGGCAGAATGCCAAACTGGCACTTGTTCTCTCGACTACCCTACAAAATTTAATTAGTTACGTCTTTTTTGACTGGATCACTCAATACACATATTTGCTCAGAAAGTAAATTGTTAATCACTTACAATTTATATCAAATACAAGCAGTTCCATCAGAAAGTGTATGTATCCTTAGTAAATAAAAGTTTTTGATTCATATTGCACATAGATGAAGTAAAAGACATTCCCTGAATAGTATTATATCTGTAGATTTTATATAAATGTTTTGAATAAAAATATGAAATTTTAAAAGTAAATTAATTAATTTTTGACTATTGTCACAGATTTTGATGTCCTTGATTGTAACAGTATTTACCATTTTTGTACAATAGTGATTGCTATAAACTTTTTTAAAGTATAAAATTTTGTCATCCTGTTTGTAAAATAAGTTTTATTTGAGCATAATTTTGATATTTATTTTTAAAAAAGTAATGG